CTGTCCGGCCAGCGCCTTATCTACTGTCGCCGGTCCCCGTCTCACCAGTGCTTTTTGTGGCTGTCAACAAGCAGCGGACTTGCAGGCCCGCATCGTGTTACGGGCCGCAGCGACTGCACGCTAACTTTAGCTGGCAGCGACGAAGAGGCCGCGAGTGGCCGGTGGACCGCCAGGCCAGGCTCCCAGCTCCGCTGCTGGCGACCCGGGAGTGCCCCGGTACGCATAGCACCGGCTCTTGTACCCGGGACTATTCACATCGTTAGTTATCGCTGTGGTGATGTGACTAATCAGCATGTTGGGAAGAGATCATTCATCATCGTCCGCTGCGAGCGTTAGTTAGAAACTGGCGTTCTCGTTAACGCGGCACGAAACATTTGCAGTTCGAAATGAAATTCGCTAGAGACACCGTGTGACATGCCACATAACCTAGGGCGTGCAGACGTCCGGGAAACTGCAACTTCTCCATCGAGTTGCATGATTGTCGCTGCTTGGCAGCTGGAAGCCAATCTTCCTTTCCCCGTGCAGGATCATGTAGAGGAGAGCTAGTTTGATTTCACGACGGACCACAACCGATGTGCTTCATATTATAAAATTAGATAGCAGAGCAGCTTTCAGAGGTTCTATCCAGCTTCTTGCATGGGCATAGGAGACCCGGACCAGACTCAGCCGGCGCCATCTACAACGTTTTCCATGTTTGGCGGAGAGAAGCAGAAGTCTGGCGGAGTTTGGCGGAAAGCAGAAGAAGAGAGAGAAGAGAGAAGGCCGGTCCGAGCTTTTCCGACCATGATCACCGATTTCAGAGTTAAGCGATCATGAGGGGATTAGATCGGGGCAGTTGTGGCCATCCTGGGACACAGACCATCATGACTGCTGCAGCTGCAGTGTCTCGCCCCACCAAAGGACCCACCACCGGGGTTGGGGCGGCAGCGTGAGCGGGGCTCCTGACTGGGACCGCCGCGAACCCGCCTCGTGGCAGTCGTGGCTTGCGACCACAGCTTCCGAAGAGAAGACGCTGCAAGCGCCACCAGGGCAAAGGAAATGTAGCGAAACGTTGACAGAGCGGGGCAGCCCATCTCCAGGGTCGCCCACGCTGTGAGGGCCGCTCCTTCGACACGCTCAGCCCGGCACGCGTCCGCTAGCGCCCAGCCGTGACAGTCGGCCGTCGGCGGTGACGCCCCGGGCGCGGTCCCGTCTAATTGTGGCGGTCGAGACGGCGTCAAGGCCGACTGAGCAGCGGAGCGTCTGCCGTCGCGCGGCCAGCCGGCCAGTCCGCTACCGGAGGCTGAGGCCCGGCCGCCGATTGCAGCGCCATCTCTGGGCGGCGACCGCCCAGCGCGCACGCTGACGGGTCGGCTGCGGTCGGGCAGGTTCTGCCCAGGGAGCCTGCGCTCAGTGGTGACCGGACTGGCTAGCGCCACACCGGTCGCAACGTTCGCTGGCCATGTGCTGTGCCCACCAGCTGTGCGTGCCTCAGTCACGGCCCAGCGGCATCGAGAAACACCACGCGGCCATCCCCAAAACACATGCCTCGACAACTGCGCACAAACGGTGCGTGTGATCAGAGTGATAGATTATAATAGTATAATCCCGGGTATGGACAGGGAAGCGACTCAGTCGCGGACGACCACGAAGTCAGCTGACCTACTCAGACAAATTCAAGCTACGGTCGGGACATCGATTCCTGCACCTTCGGCATCAGACTGGCCCCGCGTCCCCACCGGGCGCGGCCAGCGCCATCTATGAACGTTCCGGACGTGCGGTGGGCGGCGGATGTACTGCGCGGCAGTGCTGCACGTGTCAAATGAGGTGCATGCCAGGTTGAGGACAACGCACGCCTGCGCATCACGCAATAACACTGTACGACGAACTCATCAAGCCCGACTATCTGTCCTGAATACATCAACTATCTAAATTTATCGGCCGCCTGACTGGCGTCCCGAATACATGTCCTGATTGAATTGAAAACGTACCGCTCTGACTGAATGCCGCCCAGCCGACGTGAGAAACCCATGCACCCACGCTGGCTCCCTCCCCAGGCCAGTGAGGGCGACCCAGTCGGGGTGGCAGGAGCCGTCAGCGTCGGTGACGTCGGCCGGCGGGAGGGCCGGCGGCAGGCGCCGGACCTCAGGGGTGACACGGCCGCCGCCGCCCGCCTGGGACCGCTCCCACGCACAGGCGGAGGCGCGGCCGCGGTCCGTAACCGAACCAGGCCAGCGGACCAAGGTCCGACAGCACGCCGGCCGTGCGCTCCGACCGGTAACTGACGCCAGAGAGGCAGCGGGGGCGGGGGGAGGGGGGGGGGGCGGGGCGAGGGGAGGCCGCCGCTCACCACCAGGCTGAGGTCTCCACCGCTTGACGTTAAGCGCACAATTCGGTTTGAGCTGTTTCGACCTCCTTGCGCTATTGCTCTCACCTTGCACGCAGTGAGTGAAGGAGCCATATCACTGTGAGTGACGGTGCCATCTCACGCCGAGTGACGGGGCCATATCACGGAGAGGGATGGTGCCATGGCACGGCGAGTGAAGGTGCCATCTCACGCCGAGTGACGGGGCCATATCACGGAGAGGGATGGTGCCATATCACTGTGAGTGACGGTGCCATCTCACGCCGACTGACGGGGCCATATCACGGAGAGGGATGGTGCCATGGCACGGCGAGTGAAGGTGCCATCTCACGCCGAGTGACGGGGCCATATCACGGAGAGGGATGGTGCCATGGCACGGCGAGTGAAGGTGCCATCTCACGCCGAGTGACGGGGCCATATCACGGAGAGGGATGGTGCCATGGCACGGCGAGTGACGGGGCCATATCACGGAGAGGGATGGTGCCATGGCACGGCGAGTGAAGGTGCCATCTCACGCCGAGTGACGGGGCCATATCACGGAGAGGGATGGTGCCATGGCACGGCGAGTGAAGGTGCCATCTCACGCCGAGTGACGGGGCCATATCACGGAGAGGGATGGTGCCATGGCACGGCGAGTGAAGGTGCCATCTCACGCCGAGTGACGGGGCCATATCACGGAGAGGGGTGGTGCCATGGCACGGCGAGTGACGGTGCTATCTCACGCCGAGTGACGGGGCCATATCACGGAGAGGGATGGTGCCATGGCACGGCGAGTGAAGGTGCCATCTCACGCCGAGTGACGGGGCCATATCACGGAGAGGGATGGTGCCATGGCACGGCGAGTGAAGGTGCCATCTCACGCCGAGTGACGGGGCCACATCACGGAGAGGGATGGTGCCATGGCACGGCGAGTGGCGGTGCCATATCACGGCGAGTAACGGTGCCATCTCACGGCAAGTGACGGCGCCATGTCACGGACATGGCCTGGCGTCAAGGCGAGTCTACGAATGCACTGCTGCGGACGTGTGGAGGCCGCCGCGCGGCCGACGCGCAGGCAGACTCGGAATTTCCCGTATTCGTCGGCCCGGGCGGCGCCGCACCCGCCGCAGCCCATGTGACCTTGGCTCGCGCTCACCTTTCTGGTGAAGAGGGACCAGGCACGCCTCATGGCTGCCGTCAGCCGCCGCCCGAGTGAAGCACACAAGCACTGCCGCCGCGCCTCGTCACCGTATGTTGCCCTGCACGCTGTCGCCGCCGACCGCGCCCCAGCCCTACTAACGCTACTATCGTCCCATGGCAGCCGCCCCACATCTGCCCGGGGCGGCTGTCGATAACGGCAGGTAGATAGGGCCGGCGGCGATTGGCCAAAGGTCCGCTGAAACGCCGCCGGCGTCGCGCGAGAACGAGCTGGCGACGTGTCCCAGCGAGGTAGCTGGTCCGGACCGGCGCGGCGGAACGTGGAGAGCCGGGCCCGCCGAAACTGCCGTCTCACCGTGCGGCGGCGAGGGACGCAGCTCTCGGGTCTGATGCCGCTGGCTCTCCAGGGCTCACGGAGGCTCTCCACTCCACATCGAGCGAATGGATGAATGGAACGAGACCGACTCACAACCGGCCTTTTAAAAAAGAGGTGGAGGAGTCGGCGAGCTTTTGTTGACGAGGGGGACAGCATCACGCGCTGGGAATCGAGATCGAACAGCGTAGCTATGGCCATCCAATGCACGGCATTTGAGACAAACGGACCCTGGATTAGGCCTCCGAAGCAGTAGCAGTTGGCCACCACAAGCAGACATGCACACACCAAACAGGACACCGGCACCAGTAATGGCCTTCGTTCCAGACAAGAACGTAGGTCTGGAACGACACTGAATTGTAAGGATTCCCTTGGGGTTTCCACTTAATGCGTACGAGCTAGATTTGTTTGCACTCTTGTTCCTTCATGATTTATGGCAAAGGGGCGTTACCGTGCTTGCTCACGGGCGATGGATCACTGCCAGCTAGCGATTATTTCTGCCGTGTTCCGATCAACTGTATCATTGTGTAAGTATGCAAGTACAGATCTGAGGCAAACGTTTGTGTGTTGTTTGCAGGCCTTATTAGCTGTTTGGACCGTTTTTATACCATCAAAGAACCACGGCATTCGGGCACTATATCCACGATGTCAGTAATCAGTAGAAAACAAACATTCGTGACATGGAAACATTCGGATAAGCCATTGTTTGTAAAGTATGTCCATTGGGATTCACTGCGACCAATGGCCTGCGACGATAGACCCAATGAAGTCCTAAAACCACATGGTACGGAATGAATAGCCTCGGCATGTCGAGAATGTTCGCTGTTGTGCAGAGGGGCCATTGTCATCAAAATCATCTGAGCTATGAAAAGTGGTGGGATTATTATCAAACTACTGGCTCAGGCTCCTGACACCTACTGACCTGAAATACATGGCACACGTAATAAGCCTTAACTTGTCTTTTTGCCACCTGATGGGTCTCAAATAATCCTCAATAATAAATCCCCTCAGGACGTGTACTCCACTGTCATGCATTGGTGACTTCGTCTGTGTGATTCCCACGGGACCCTATTTCGTGAGCGGGCCGCGGTCCCAGAGGGTGAGTACGGCACACTCACTGGCGGGCGAGCCCAGCCGCTGACCTACCTTGCGCTTTTTCCGTGACTTTCGGATGGATAGGCGCCGTGTGAAGGAGGCCGGCGGCAGGTCGGCAGCCTGTACCACCGGCGGCGCCACCGTCTGGTCCTGTCGGAGAGCGGGGCACGTCGTCAGCGGCGGTCAAAACACCGCGCCGGTCGCCGCCAGGGATCGCCACGATGGGCGCGACGCTGCATCGGTCGACGTACGGCTGTGGCGGCTAAACTGGCGCAGCTGACGTCAGTGACGCCTGCGGCGGGTAAAGCAGCGACGCATACGCCACGCCAAGTCATGTGGTGGTGGCGAGCGAAATGACACTTTGGCGGTCACAGCTGTGGCAAAAAACCGCAGACGGAACGGCGTCAGCAAGTCGCAAGATGCAAAAACATCAGCAGAGCCGAGTGAATGGTGTTTCGAGGTCTCTCTCTCTTCTCTTCTCACCTAACTCTAAGCATACAGCGTGATACAAAGTGCATAATTGCCAAACTTCGCATGGATCATGTTGTGATCTGCACATGTATATGCGTACGTAGCTTAAATTAAAACGTGGAACACTAAATCTCTCTCGCGCACCCCTTCTCTTCGACTGTCGCCAGGCCACTGAATCGCGGACCGGATGTGCGACACAGCGCCGGCTGAATGAGACTGGCAACACACATTCCCTGCTGGCAGCTGCACAGGCCGACAGCAGCGGCGCAACTGACCATACACTGGCGTGGGCAGAGTGGGCAGAGGAGTCAGCCTTGGGCGCACACCGGCTGGCAACGCAACCAAACGTGCGAGAAAAACAACGTCTCAGCAGGGGGCAGATGCCCCGCCGGCTGCGTCGGCGCCGCTCCCGCCGTAGAAAAACAGCCGTGTAGCAGCAATTGGCCACCCATCGCCTGCAGGCGTCCGCGCGCGGCCCAGAGAGAGACGCTCTCCTGCTCTCCCTGTACACCCCGCCTGTGGCGTCTGCAAACGAGAGAGACGCTCTCCTGCTCTCCCTGTACACCCCGCCTGCGGCGTCTGCAGCCGAGAGAGACGCTCTCCTGCTCTCCCTGTACACCCCGCCTGCGGCGTCTGCAGCCGAGAGAGACGCTCTCCTGCTCTCCCTGTACACCCGCCTGCGGCGCCTCCGCGCAGCCGAGAGAGACGCTCTCCTGCTCTCCCTGCACACCCCACCCGCGGCGTCTACCGGACCCTCTGCGCGGCTGGGGCGGAGAACAGAAGTCTGAGGCCATCCTCGGAAAACGACGACTGGGCACATGCTAAGTGGCTTAGCTGAGACTGAGGCACGACAAAAACCTCACCTCATGGGGAATGCAAAAGGACGTCATTGGCTCAGCACCTTCTTTAATCCGCCGTACACAGTGTTGACCTGTGACTTACGATTATCGTTGTTCTTTTTTACATGATTACCGAAGTCAAAAACAAGTTCAACGAGGTGCTGTGGGCGGAGACCAAGGAAATTGCAGTGAGCTGTGGCCAACGCAAGGCTGTTCCAACCAGCTGATAACTCTGTAACCATTCCTAACCTAACGTAACGTAACCTAACCTAACCTAACCTAACCTAACCTAACCTAACCTAACCTAACCTAACCTAACCTAACCTAACCTAACCTAACCTAACCTAACCTAACCTAACCTAACCTAACCTAACCTAACCTAACCTAACCTACGCCGGAGATGGTCGCAACAGAGGTCCGAAAAAGCACTGGTCCTTGGTCAGGCACAACACTGTGTCGGCCCTTGCGACAAGTGATGACTTCCAGTGATGGTTCGCGGCGTGTGTCTGTCTGGGAAGCTGCCTGTCCTGGCGTAGTTCAGGCAGGCGGAGATGGCAGCGGCTCCTGGCAGAAATCGGTAAAAGAGGTGCATTTGAGGTGCGTGTTTTGACATGACCGATAGAACACATGACGAGGCATCAAAATCACGTATCGTGAAGTACGTAGGAACGTTGCGCAAATAACGAAACCGTAAACAAAAGCAAGGTAGGAGCATTGTCCCGTATCGGACCGTATCACACAGTCTAAATGAGGACATCGTCACAGACCGTGAACCGCCATTGTGCTGGTTGGCCATAGTGCGAGCACGACTCCGTTCGGAGCCATGCGTCCCTCCCCCCTCCCCCCCCCCCCCCCTGCACCTCCACGCCTACAGCGACATACGATTCCATGTGCATCGAATGTATGACTGAGCCTATTCATCATTCACGATTTGAAGACGCGCGTTATGCAGAACTTGCTCTGACGAGTCAACCAGATGACATATGGTTCGCCTGACGTTCAAATACTGTTTCGCACCAGAAGGCACTGAAAGCGTTCACAAGGCAACCAGTACATGGGATCGTAACTTTGTTTGGAGATGGCCGACCCGGCCCAACTTACGCCGTTCGTCGACTCGAGTGCCTCACAAAGCAGGCGAAGACGGACCCCTGGGGCAATCGCTTGGAATCAACAACCCCGAGGCGGCGCCGAAAGCTGAGAGGACGAAGCTCAAGTAGCAGTGCGTCCAAACGATCGATAAGATTGCAGCGGCATTAGGCCACAGCGAAGCCCCGAAATGAAGCACGCGCTGTCGCCATACGAGAGGGTCTGTGCCCCCTCAGTGCCGGGTAACCACGGCCGCAGGACCTGAGCACACCTCAGTGCCGGGTAACCAGGGTCGCAGGACCTGAGACACCTCAGTGCCACGTAACCACGGTCGCAGGACCTGAGCACACCTCAGTGCCAGACGCCAAGGCCGCAGGGCCTGAGCACACCTCAGTGCCGGGTAACCAGGGTCGCAGGACCTGAGACACCTCAGTGCCAGGTAACCAGGATCGCAGGACCTGAGCACACCTCAGTGCCAGACGCCAATGTCGCAGGACCTGAGCACACCTCAGTGCCAGACGCCAATGTCGCATGACCTGAGCACACCTCAGTGTGAGACGCCAAGGCAGCAGGACCTGAGCACGACATTCGTTGCAAGGCCAAACAGAAGTAGCCGCGGCGCATTACATACCAAGAGGACAGCCGAACCTGCTAGCAATCTGGCTTGCTGTGACCTATTCAAACCTTGCGTTTGCCCCCGTCTTTGACCAGTTCGCCATACCCAGAAGCCAGAAGCCAGAAGCCTCCTCAAAAGCCTCACGCGGCTCTAAACCCCGCATGCATCGTCACGTCCTGCGAGGGTCACAAGGTCACGGTGGGCCGCTCTAGCGAGATCGCAATATCCCGTGGCATTCGAGTCCAGCCAGACAGGTGAAGGTAATTTCCGTGGCGGCCGGGACGCCCACTCACGCCGCGGGCGGATGGGGGAGGGGGAGGGGAAGCATGCTCGCATAGCACAGCGAAATGTCACCAGTTACGGAGCCGGCCGGGGGACCGGTGCGGCGAGGGAGGGGCGCGCGGCGCCGCCAGAACGAACGGCAGTGCACAGCTGCAGCCGCCCGCAATTACACCAGCCGTGTGCCCCGGTCGCTGAACGCCGCCCGGTGATTGGTGGGAAGAGGGCGTCAGCTGAGCGCCCGGAATGCTAATTTATGCAGTCGGACGCCAGCGCTGGGCAACACCACACAGCTGGAGCGCTAACCAATCACACACGTCCATATTCGTTTCGAAACGGCGTGAGCGTGCTTGCAGAGCGACCGCTGCGAATCAGAGATTCAAGGGTGGCGCTGCGCTCCGTCGACCGTGCGTGCTGGTAGTGATTGCTGACGGGTTTGCAATCGTGCGAGCGTCCGGCAGCATTTGCGTCACGTTCGGGGCGTGCGGGGTTCGTGGTGCATGCGAGCGGTCGTCGCCGTCCGTCGAAACGCATCGGGCTGTCACAGTCGGTCGTGTGTCGTCCGTCAGGCTCTCGAGGCCCAATGCGTGCTGTCTGGCCCCCTTCCCACAGCTATTGCCTTTCTGTCGCCATCGAGCGCCTCATTCGCTCGTCGATGGTTACAGGTCTGACTACAGCTATTGCCTGTCTGCCGTTATCGGGCGCCTTATTCTCTCGTCGATGGTTACAGGTCTGACCACAGCTATTGCCTGCCTGCTGTTATCGGGCGCCTTATTCTCTCGTCGATGGTTACAGGTCTGACTACAGCTATTGCCTGTCTGCCGTTATCGGGCGCCTTATTCTCTCGTCGATGGTTACAGGTCTGACTACAGCTATTGCCTGTCTGCCGTTATCGGGCGCCTTATTCTCTCGTCGGTGGTTACAGGCCTGACTACAGCTATTGCCTGTCTGCCGTTATCGGGCGACTTATTCTCTCGTCGATGGTTACAGGTCTGACTACAGCTATTGCCTGTCTGCCGTTATCGGGCGCCTTATTCTCTCGTCGGTGGTTACAGGCCTGACTACAGCTATTGCCTGTCTGCCGTTATCGGGCGACTTATTCTCTCGTCGGTGGTTACAAGTCTGACCACAGCCCTTGCCTGCCTGCTGTTATCGGGCGCCTTATTCTCTCGTCGATGGTTACAGGTCTGACCACAGCTATTGCCTGTTTGTCGCCATCGAGCACCTCATTCACTCATCGGTAGTTACAAGTCACAGTCACATACGTCAGGCCGTCTGGCTGTCGCAGCCAGGCACTTGCATGAAGTGCCGCCACCGCCGGCTCACATCATACAGCCGACCGTCATCCTTCACAGCCGCTACGCTGGTGGTGTAATGCAGTGCAGTGCAGTGCAGCTGCCTGCATTGGTGGCCCAATGGTGCCGGGCCATGACGCTGGTCAACGGCCCAGCACCAGAGGGGCTCTGATTTGACCCCTCTCCGGGCCGGCACCAGAGACGCTCTGGTTTGGACTCCCTCCCGGCCGGCAACAGAGACGCTCTGGTTTGGACTCCCTCCCGGCCGGCACCAGAGACGCTCTGGTTTGGACTCCCTACCGGCCGGCACCAGAGACGCTCTGGTTTGGATCCCCTCCCGGCCGGCACCAGAGACGCTCTGCTCTGGTTGACCCCTCTCTGATCGACCCCTGTCCGGCCGGCAGCAGAGACGCTCTGCTCTGGTTGACCCCTCTCTGATCGACCTCTGTCCGGCCGGCACCAGAGACGCTCTGCTCTGGTTGACCCCTCTCTGATCGACCCCTGTCCGGCCGGCACCAGAGACGCTCTGCTCTGGTCGACCCTTCTCTGATCGACCCCTGTCCGGCCGGCACCAGAGACGCTCTGCTCTGGTTGACCCCTCTCTGATCGACCCCTTTCCGGCCGGCACCAGAGGCCCCCTAGTTTAATCCCTCTCCCAGCCAGCTCACGTCGACACAATACCGCGACATGTCCGGGGCGGCTGTGGCTTCGGGCGCACCTGAGCCTCGTGACGCAGCAGTGACATCACCGGTCAGGGGAGCGCCAGGTATGCGGCTGCTGCGCGCAGGCCGGCGGCCGGCTGACCACCGCGCCAGCCGCCGGCCGGGCGGCAGGTCCGGTTTCTTCTGCGGCTGGCTGAGCGGCGCACGCTCGCTGGCGGCACCCAGGGTCGGCATTGACGGCCGTTCAAAACAACTGGCAGTTTCCCGTCCCGCAGCGACATGCTCGCAGCGCTCATTTCGAGTCAGCGCAGCATGCAGTAGAGCCGAGTTGCAGGATGTAGCGCATGGGTTCGGATGGTACGGCAGCCGATTGCAATAATCATGTTCGGCCCGGCCATTTAGGTGATACAGACCATCAGGTAAGCTGCTAGCTCGCTTCAACTCCGGCAAAACTTTCAGCTTCTGCCGAGAAGTCCGGCAGTAGGAGCCAAGACACCACGTCTTAAAACGGCTGTCTAGCCAGCCGCAATGAAGGAGAAAGTCGGCTGGCTCCTGATATCAGTTCTCTCCGGCGACATCCGCGCTTCGGGAGGATTACTTGGACCTCAGGGCACGGTATTTCCGGGTTTCCAGCCGGCCACACCCATACTGGGATTGGCCATCGGAAAATTCCAGCGCCGCCGCCGAGTGTTCGGTTCGGGCTCGATCGGTAGCTACCATGCCGCTTGCCTCAACTCAGTCCTTGTGCTCGATGGTGTCCAGTGCACCGGCCACGGGCCGACGGCCAGACAGGTTACGGCCAGCCCAGTAACAGAGCCATCAACCGACTGCCGCCGGCGCGCCCGCAGACATCACTGTGAACAGTGCACTGGCAGCCATCACGTTTGCATCACTCGCCCCGAATTGATAGCGGCACAATAGGCGGACACTGAGCGTTTGCTGGTGGATTCCGCAATACTACGAGCACAATGGACTCGAGACACGATGTTGTTAATCGCAGATCAGCACGGAGCTGCAGGTGGCCGGCGATTCTGGAAATAGCTGCAGTGGCGTGCACGTGACTCAGCATACCGAGGATCCGGTCAGTCGGGGTCCGGCCGCCCCGGACCTCGGTCAGCCGGGGTCCGCCCCCCCCCCCCTCCCGGGCCTCGGCCAGCCGCGGTCCGGCCGCCCCCGGGCCTCGGCCAGCGTCCGGCCGCCCCCGGGCCTCGGTCAGCCGGGGTCCGCCCCCCCTCCCGGGCCTCGGTCAGCCGGGGTCCGCCCCCCCCCTCCCGGGCCTCGGCCAGCCGCGGTCCGGCCGCCCCCGGGCCTCGGTCAGCCGGGGTCCGCCCCCCCTCCCGGGCCTCGGCCAGCCGCGGTCCGGCCGCCCCCGGGCCTCGGTCAGCCGGGGTCTGGTCGCCCCCACAACAGGTCAGCGCAGGGCCGTCCTCGGCCAGCTAGAAGCAATCAATCACCGTAGATCACACACCTTGCTAAACGCGCGCTAACTATGTCGATGAAGTTCCGCGGCATAAGTGCACGCCTGCGTCAAAAGGCACTTTCTCCCCACACCATAACATGGAGGTCCACAAAAGAGCCTAACATTTTCCACACAGATTTTCGCATTGGACCAATCGGGGTGAGCTCCTTTTTACTTGGCCGCTCCTGGGGCTGTTACCGTCCCCCCCCCCCCCCCCCCAATCCCCGGCGCTCTCTCCGGCTCGCGGAGCGCCGACAGATTTCACATCAAGCCGGCCGGCGGCGGCCGGACACGCGGTCGGCCGTCATCGGCGGCCGCTGCATCACAGCAGGACAAATGATCACCCCGATCGCGCCCGTGGACACCATGATGGAGACCTGACAGCGGCTCAGCGTCGGTGAGCGGGCCGCCCGTCCGCACCAGCAGCCCAAACGGAGCCGTCATCAGCGGTGACACATGACGGCGTACATTAATATTTGACGACCCCAGGCATCAGCGCAGATCGTCCGATCGAAGTTATCAAGACCGGTATCAAGTCCCGCAAAAATAATGCAACGCGTTGATGATTGACGCTCTGGCCGGCGGCGTGGCGAGCAGCCGCACTGCCGCCTAGCTTCGGCAGGTCGTAAGCCTCGAGTGGGGCGACGCCGGCCGGATGCTGTCGATCTCACCGCTCCTGCGTCTGGTCAGAACGCTTCGGGCTGGATCGAATCGCGCGGAAACGCGGCGACAGCAAAAGTGGAGTGAAAGCGGGCAAAACCTGCGCTGGTCGCTATCCCGTTCGCATCGAGACATCACGGCAGCGGCAAACATCGGACATGGCTCCTCTGAAGATTTCCTCAATCTTTCGAAACAGACGAACGTGGTCGCCACCGCTGCCAGGGGCTCAGTCCTTACCAGTTCGGCGCGGTTCAGGCCTCTTGACCCCATATCGACCGTGCCTGGACAGTCCCAGGGCCCAAACTTGACCGGGCGCGCCAGGCCATGTCGGAGAAGGTCGACAGTGACCTGGCGCGGGACCGACCTGGTGACGTCACCTCGCTGGGGTTCAACGGGTCCGGGACCGTGGGCAGGTCAGGCCAGGTCCGGGGGCTGGGCTATATTTTGGTAGAAGTGATACATCACTGATATGGCTCCCACGTTTTATCCTTGCCAGCTTAAGGTAAAAATATTTAATTTGCTTCAAGCCCATACCGTCATACACATGATAACGCTTTAAATCCTTCGACGACATATCAGTCATTATCCGAATTCACGGGCCAACCTTCCCAAATATGCGCCGGTCGGTCAAGCTTGGGGGCATTGACAATGCCGTTCCATTTTCAGGAAACAATAACAAAACTACAACGTCAGAGCGGCCAGTTCACCCCGAGATTCTCGCCGCCAGACAGTGAGTGAATGTACCCACCATCACCTGGTGCCTGCTAAATCGTGGCGCTTTATTCCAATCTATATCCAGCCGGCGAAGGGACCTACGATCAGAGATGTTCCAGTTCATCAAATGGGAGTCTCAAATCGTCGGCCCCTCACGAACTGATAGCACGATACCGAACGTGTCATCACAAGGCCATCAAATTGGCAGAGACTGCAGCGCCCATTCGGGCTCTAACGACAAACGCCTCGAACAAGCACCGCTATCTCACACGAGCTTACGTTAAATGATTTCCAGCCATCTACTAGTTTCGGGTTCCAGGCCCTAAGCCAGTCTCCAATACCGTTTTTAGCGGACTGGAATGTCAACAAAGCCCAGCGCCAGGTGTATTGGGACCACAAATAAAGAACACGTCACGAGCGCAGTGTGTAAACTTTCACCAAACATTTCCAGAGACGATAGCTTACGGTGGAAGACACGTAGGTTCTTTCGTGCCCAGTTGTAACCAAAGTGCTAAAGTGAGCAGGTCGGTTTTACCACGAACTATGCCGGTGCGTCCCAACGCCAGAGAGCAGAGACCGTGAACAGTGGACGCCATGGGACGCCCGTGCTGCGCATCCCAACCGGCGGGGCGAAGTGACGTTTGCCGGTCCGTTCCCACGTGACCTCAGTGACCGATCGTTTACAATGAGGGCAGCGGCCACAACACCGCTACGCGAGACCTTCTCGCCCATTTTCTTCCTCCAGAAGAAGACTCCGTCAAGGTATGGCGATTTCTACAGTGCATTCATGAGACAGCTCGCACATTGCACAAGCCGGAGCCGGAGCACAGCGAGCGCCCAGGCCACGTCAGTTACTTACCCGTGCCACACTCTGCTCGAGGGGCTCGTGCGACGCCTGGGCTCCCATCGTCACCGACGCTCCGAACCACACTCACAGACACACCGCCGCGCCCGCCGCACTGCAGGCGCGCGCCGCGCCGGCGCCGCCGTCCCCCGCTCGGTGGCTCTGCCGCGCCCCACTGACGCCAGGCAAGGTGGGCCGACGCCGACGCCGCTGCCGCCGCCGCCGTCGCTGCTGAGGAGGAGCCGACTGGTCACGGCCGGCGCACAAAGCCGCGGCCGCGCCGCCGGGCCCGGCCGGCCTTGGCGCGCCAGTTCGTTACTCCGCGACGCTAGCGCCGCCGCCGGCCGTCACCGAAGGCGGCCCGCCGTTTAACCGGGCTCGGGCGGCGGGTCAGGGGAGGTGGGGTGGCGTGGATGACGGGAGGTGGCGGCCCGGCAGGCTGCGCGGAGAGCGGTGGGCTGCGCCGAGAGCGCGTGATCACTCGTCGTCGCAGCTTTCTGCCGGCTCCGGCAGAAAGCTGCAACGTTTGGCCAGCTAGAGCGGCCGGACAAGCTCCCGAAAGGACCGAAGAGTGCAGGGAACTCGCCTGCTCCTCATGGAGGAGAGCAAAGCATGGACAGTAATAATAACCGTCGCGCAGAGAATTCCACATCACGCTCTTCGAATGCGACCTCAAACCGGCATTTTAGAAGCGTTAGAGCGGCCGAGGATCGTAACGAACAACTTCAGATGCTGCTTAACTGCAAACCGGTTGCTGGGCCTGGTCGCAAAGGCATTGCTAGATCGCCGCGAGTGAACCAGCGCTCCACCAGAGACCCCAGTCGGGCTGCAGTCATGCCAGCCGAGCTGCGCTGTCTGTGTACCCAGCGACCACAGTTGGCGGGAGGCAACGACCAGTCGGCCCCGCAGCTTTCCGCCGCCGCTTCTGGATTGCTGTGGGCCATCTCCGACTCCACTTTGCCTCACTACAGGCCGTCCCCTCGTTCACCACGGAAAGTCCCCTGGTTCGCCACGGGCCGTCCCCTAATCGCCATGGACATCTCCTGGACCGCCCTCAAGCTTAGCATATGGGTCACCCCACCACGGGTGGCTTTCGGCTCCCCAAGAGCCACGTGGCTTCCATGGATTGCAAGACCGACCCAACTGGTGGTGCGCTGGATCGGAGGGAGGCGGACCTGCTCGCCTGAGAGATAGACAGGGAGAGCGCGGGAGAGAGGGAGGGAGAGAAAGAGAGAGTGGGGGAGGCAGAGAGAGAGAGAAAGAGAAGGAGAAAGAGGGAGAGAGAAAGATGGAGAGAGAAGAAGAGGGAGAGAGGGAGGGAGAGAAAGAGAGGAGGAGGGAGAGAGAGAGGGAGAGAGAGTCTGGGGGACTGACAGCAGAAGAGCATGGGGAGGAGAGCGTCAGCCGTTAGGGCAAGGTGAGATCTTAACAGGCCCTGGCGGAAGCGGGTGCGGAGGGTTGGAAACCGTCAGAGACTGTTGCCCACGAATGGGGCCAGAGAAACCGAGCGACTTGAGTCTGGCTCGAGGTCGCAGCTGTGAGCTCTCGTCCAGCTCTGAGTCCATAAGTGGCTCAGGACCTTGAATTCTGGGGCGTCTCGACAGATGAGCAAGTCCAGCCAATCCTTATCCGTAGCACGACTCGAATCAGAGGTGTATCGAGCTTGAGGTCTGAGCGTTCTCAATGGACTGAGCTTCCTCTTAGATACCCCCTCCTCCGCCTCCATCCTACATGAACCTCAACGATGAAGGCGGACACGTGACGAATGGGTTCGATCTGCGGAACTGTGCGTTTGAACGTCCGGGAGCTGGCGCACCGCGTCAACGTGGCGGCAGCCGAGGATACCCAATGCCTCTCCAATTAAAGAAAAGGCTGCTCCATACGGTACCCGCGGTTCTTTCGACATTCAAACTTAGACCGTTGTACCAGTCATGCCTTCAGGCGTTTGCAAGCGATCCGCTTAACTTCTCAGGCGAAACTGAATTTACTGCGCCATTCCATGAAGCCAGCCAGCTCGCCAAGCAGTGCAGTGACGTCGCCAAATGCGCAGTTCAAAGCAAGGAAATCTTTCAAAGAAAAACGAGGGTTGCACGCGACGCCGCACGGCACGGCGCGGCGCTGCACGGCACGGCACGGCACGGTACGGCACGGCACGGCACGGCACGGCACGGCACGGCACGGCTCGGCACGGCGGGGGCTGGGCGGTGCTTCGTCCTGATCTGGCAATTGGGGCCCAGCGCACGAGCTTCGCGACTTAGGCAACGGCCCCAGTCACTCATGCCGGTAGACGCGTTCTCCACTTGCAGACTTCTCCGGAGAGGCATGGAATACTGATGGTCTTTGAACGGCCGCCTGTTCCTGCACCTAAAGTGGCCTCGCTTTAAACGGCGCCGAAGTGGCGTGGTCTCGGGGAGACGACACCTGTGGTTCGAGGACGACGCAGACTTTTTCTCACGATGCCCAACGAAGCATCGCAGCTGCTGCGGGTGGTCTCAAACTCAACGACAGGACATGGTCGTCGCATGCGGGCAGAATCAGCCTCCGATGACGGGCGGAATGACCTACCGCAGCGGTGGAGGGAAACGTTTGTCGGTTTTTGACAGAGACTCTCTCCGCAAACATCTGACTCTCTTCTGTGAACAGCGGGGTCCCTCGATCTTGACTGGACAGACGAACTTTCCCTACAAACGCAGATAAACACATTGAAACAGTGGAACGTGGAACCCCAGCGTAACGACGTGTTACGCCGCAGATTCCGATTTCAGAGTCTTTCACACTCCACGCTGACGCTCAGCCTGCGCGTGCACCTGTGCCTTCCCCCTGCGGACGGACGGCACAGCACTCCGTCACGCCCTACAGCAGGAGAGCGTCCGCCGCCCGGCAAGGACGGCCGCTCTGCCGCCGGCGACAATCAGCTGATTGCGCGGCGTCAGCAGAGCTCGCCGGCCGTGCTAGGCCGGGGTGGCCCTGGGCGGCCACGGCCCACTACTTTCACGCCGGTGGTGCCGGCGCAGGGCCCGGCCACCTGGCGGCCAGGGCCGAGACAGGCGTCGGCTGCGCTGGGACGGGTTCGTCACAACAACCGCGCGCCGGAAACCGCGGCCGGAATGCCGCCCGGCAGCCCGTCATGACCCCGGTGGCGGCTCACGCGTCACTGGCGTCATCGTGGGTCAGCGTCCCACCGGTGTGGGCGGGAGCAGAGCCTCACGTACTGACGGGTGTAGGCGGGAGCAGAGCCCCCGTCTACCGACGGGTGTGGGCGGGACCAGAGCCTCACCCCCCACCCCACCTACCGACGGGCCGCGTCCGCCGGCCCGCTGCAGAGGATCAAGGACGGGCCTGCAGCCATTACGCCTGCGCGCACCTGTCTGCGCCCGGCTGGTGGGCGACCCCCGACTCCGTTTGCCCGGACGTGAGCCCGGCGAGCGCGGCCGCGCCCGGCCGCCCTGGGGCTCGCGCCCGGGGCACGCAGCACCACGCGGCCTGCCGGGGCACACACCGGCAACAAAGCGGACCCGTGGCGGGCGGCGACAGACCGCGCAGCAGACGGCAGTGGACCACAGATCAGACCACGCAGCAGACGGAAGTGGACCACCGACAGACCAGACCGTGCAGCAGACGGCAGCGGACCGCCGACAGATCAGACCACGCAGCAGACGGCAGTGGACCACCGACAGACCGCGCAGCAGACGGCAGTGGACCACCGACAGACCGCGCAGCAGACGGCAGTGGACCACAGACAGATCAGACCACGCAGCAAACGGCAGTGGACCACCGACAGACCGCGCAGCAGACGGCAGTGGACCACCGACAGACCACGCAGCAGACGGCAGTGGACCACCGACAGACCGCGCAGCAGACGGCAGTGGACCGCCGACAGATCAGACCACGCAGCAGACGGTAGTGGACCACCGACAGACCAGACCACGCAGCAGACGGCAGTGGACCACAGACAGATCAGACCACGCAGCAGACGGCAGTGGACCACCGATAGACCGCGTAGCAGACGGCAGGAGGCCGCCGCTGGCCAGCCGGCGCCGAGTGGGACGATCACGACGGGGATCTGTGCGGCTTTGAGGGAGGATGCGAGATCTGTGGTACTGATTCGGGACGATTCGTGATACGCGGGGCCGGTGGGCTGTTAACGATTTGTAGGGCTGGCGGACGGTTTTTTATACCTTCGGGTGTGGCGGTGCGGAATCAGTGGAAGGGAGAGAGGGAGGTAAGTGGCAGTAAGAGTAAAGATAACGCTCCCCCGCCAGTGCGACATGAGTCTGTGGCTGACTCAAGGTTCTCAAGAGTACCAGTCCCTCCCCCCCCCCCCCTCTCGAGCGGAAAAGGAGCCACGGGAGTGGTTTGGCTGAGTGCTTTGAGGTGGGCGCTGCCTGCTGCGTAGGCATGGAGATATGACCGCATAGTGCATGAGGCAGAAGACAGAGCCCGCAGTAGGCACAGTGCAGAGCTCTGGCTTCGTGGTCACACAACGCAATCCGCCGGAAAGGAAGCTAGCCGACAGCTCCTAAGAGCGCCTGCGCGCTGCGCGAGCGGTGACCTATTGTGGAGGAGTGGATCAGAGGAGACGCCCACGGCCGGCGGCAGCGCTAGTCGATGACGCACTCACAGACGCACTTCTCACGCTCCACCACCACTGCTGCCGATGACCGGAGCCGACCACTGACAGGTGCGTGGCGCTCCCTGGCGGCACCGGCCAACAGCACTGAACGGGGCCGGCGCCGGCCGGCCGCCGCCGACTCGCTGGAAAACCGGTCCCGGAATGCATTACTGGCGAGCGCACGGCAAACAGAGGTAACGCATGATGGCGGCGCGCGCAGAGCTACCGCTGATTGCCGCCCGCTGGGACGGCATGCACTTCCGCTGCGTGATTTGCCATCGCTGTGAGAGACGAATACCTTTTGGTAGCCACCCATCGGCGTGGCGTTGTGCTGCGTCACGCGAGTTACTCCTCTGCGCTGCGGAGCTCGTCGCCGGTCGCGACCGGCCCGTCCGGACGCGGCAAAAACGCCGAGGCTTCTCACATACCTGGCCGCGGCGGGCGGCGGCGCGGGCGGGTCATGCGTGCCGCCCGACCGGCGCCGGACGGGTCACGGCGGACAGCGACCTCACGGACGGCGCCAGAGGGCCTCGCTTCCGGAGGTCACGCCTCGGCTCCGTAAAGGTCATGTCCAGTCACGGGCGTAGGGAAGAGAATCTCCGACGTCAGAATGGTTTTTAAACTATCTGCGCTTTGCGTGGAAGGGGCTCAAATCTCGATTGTCCGCACAAGGCAACCGGCCGAAAGAAGTGACAGAAGATCATTTGATGCTGGCGAGGACGCTCCCCAACGTACATCGGGCCGCTTCAGCTCCCGACCCCGGGCCTCCGGCACAGAGCAGGCAACAGACAGCGGAGAGGCCGCCAGCCCATGGCACTGCTCAGCGATCACTGGTTGTCAGGGCTCACCGATCAGTGGTTACCAGGGATCACCGATCACTGGTCATCAGGGCTCACCGATCACTGGTCATCAGAACGCTCAGACCAGTGTGATAGCCTGCCGTCAAACTATGGAGATCATCCTTGCGCTTGTATTGGCACACGCACACGCAGCGTCTTATCGAGACTCAGTTATCACATGCAGTCTGCCGTCCGAAAGCGGCGCACTTATGCAAAGACAAATATTATTCAGCGTCTGCTCTAGATAAGGTTCGTCATTTTGAACTTCTGAAAAAACTGACGCTTTATATAAGTCCAAACGGGTCGGGTGTCGAGACACACGGCCAGATCGGGTCCCAGTGGTACTGGGATCCGGTCGCAGGTCTCGGGCGGTGCGGCGCACGGCTCGGGCCTGTCGGCGCTCGGGTCTGAAGGAGCGTGGCCCGGAGGCGGTTCCTGCTGAACAGGTAAGATGCAGGAGCGTCATGATGTGCCTGGATGATTCCCGGCTGTCAGGTGAGCTGGGATCTGTCGCCGATGAACGCGGCATCTCCAGGGTGCAGCACGGGCTCTGGACGGCCGTGCCTGATGCGGGCGTTGTGACCTTCGTGGTGCTTCTCTCAGTGATGCTCCAGGCGTCTTCTGTAATCTTCTGTTCCTTTATTTGTCCACCTCGGTAGAAGGTCGACGTTTTTCATAAACAACAGCTCCGCTGGTGCTGGCGGAGCGCTGTCGATAGGGGTCACCCTCAAGGTCTGCAGTCCGATTTGGAAATTGGTGATGCTTCGGCGGCACTTTTGCGGCAGATTCTACACCGTCTTCAGTGCCGTTCCGCGATGCCGTTGCTCTGTGGGTGGTTTGACGATGATTTCATGCGCTTGGGCCCAAGCTTCCCCGCGAAGGTTCGGAACTCTTTCTAGCTGCATTGAGTTCCGTTGTCGGAGTGCGGTGTTTGGCGATCCTTGCTCGACGAACGGTTGTTCTAGGACTTCCACAACGTGCACGTTTGTGATGCTTGACGATTGATACACGAACGAAAACGTGGCGTAGTGGTCAAAGATGAAGTTGTAATTTCGTCCATGGCAGTAGTACAGGTCGGTGTTGACATTGGTCCATGGGCCAGCTAGGACTGGATGCCGGTGCTCAGGCTCGAGAATGCTGGCATTCGCTGCACGACGTGACGACTGGCATGGCAGGCAGGCAGCGACGCGTCCTTCCACGTCCTCTCTTATTTGCTGCCAATAGACTGCGCCACGGGCCCACAGCTCCATCTGTACGCAGCCGTGGTGACCGGAATGCCGTTCTCGAGGTAACGCGGCTGTAGCTTGACTGAAATAGCCACAGCAGTGCCTTTGACGATCAGTCCGTCGTCGATGACGAGGGCACCGAGAACGGACCAGACCTGTCTGGCTGCCGGAGGTGTTTCGTAGCGTTTAGCTGGCCAGCTATCCACGATCATCCTCTGGACCTGGTGCAGCGTGTCATCTTCTTGCGTGTCCTTCCGCAGTTCTTCCGAACGTTCTGGGTTAAACTGCACAAGGCCGATGCAGAAGTCAAGAGGGATGATTGTCGTCGGGTTTGGCGGGTTCGTTGGGAGTCGAGACAGAGCGTCGGAGATGTACATCGTGTTGCCTTTGCGATACTTGAGGGTGAATGTGTAATTTTCTATGCGTAGGAGCATCTCCTCTAGCCGGGCTGTTGCGCAAGAGATGCACGTATGCAAAATCATTTCCAGCGCCCCATGGTCTGCTATGACCTGGTAGACGCGTCCAAAGCGTTAAGCCCAGAATTTCGCACAACCGAAAACCTCTGCAAACATTTTTCTCTCGATGTTGGCGTACCTGGTCTCGGTGTGGCTCAGGGCTTTAGAGGCGATCACGACAGGTCAGCCCTCTTGCAGCAAGACCGCGCCCAGCGCAACACCAGAGGTGTCGACTTCCAGCATCATTTGCTTTGCTGGGTCGTAGAAGCCGAGCACAGCATCAGAGATGGCGTCCTCCAGGGCTTCGAAGTCCCTGCACGCTTACGGAAACCATTCAAAGATGGCGTTTTCCTTCAACATCTATCTGAGGTTGTGGGTGAGCTCCGAGAAGCCTGGAATGAATAAAAACAGGAAGGCGCACAGACCCAGGAAGAACTGAAGCTCCGCGACGTTGTTGGCGCGCTCCATGTTCCAGGTCGCATCCACCCTTGCAGGATCGGGTGATACGCCGTCCGCGTTGTAGATGTGCCTGAAGAACGATACCAGGTTCAGTCCGATGGTGCACTTCTCACGGTCGAATGCCAGGCCCTAATCTTCTGCCCGCCTCGTGGGGGGCGTGGAGTCGCCTTGTGTGCTCGACAGCGTCCTTGCATAGACGCAGATGTAGTCCGCGATGGAGATGACTTCTTCCACACCAGCCAGGACCTGACTTTTTTGCCGGATTCCAAACGGCAGCCTGGTGTACTGAAATGTGTCGAAGGGAGAGTTGAAGATGGTCAAATTACTTGACTCGTTATTCAGCTCCATAACCCAGTATCCTGAACGGGCGTCAAGCTTGGAGAAGACCTCCGACCCGGCCAGCTAGTGGATAAACTCACACACACGCTGTATATATATATATATATATATATATATATATATATATATATCCAGTCAGTTCTCTTCTTAATGGGCTTGATGACGTTCATCTCTTCCATCTTGTTCAGCTCCTTTTTTGGCTTATTTCGAAGGTAGATGGGACATTTCCTTGGAGAGTGGAGTACTGCTTATCAGGGCCCATCTATCACTACTCACCAGGGCTCACCTATCACTGCTCACGGAGGCTCACCTATCACTGGTCGTCAAGACTCACCGGTCACTGCTCATCAGGGATCACCTATCATTGCTCACCAGGACTCATCTATCACTTGTCATCAGGGCTCACCGATCACTGCTCATCGGGGTTCACCGATCAGAGCCTATCAGAGCTCACCAGATCACTGGTCATCAGGGCTCACCGGTCACTGCTCATCAGGGCTCACCTATCACTGCTCACCAGGACTCATCTATTACTAGTCATCAGGGCTCATCGATCACTGCTCATCAGGGTTCACCGATCAGAGCCTATCAGAGCTCACCAGATCACTGGTCATCAGGGCTCACCGGTCACTGCTCACTAGGGCTCACCTATCACTGCTCACCAGGACCCATCTATTACTAGTCATCATGGCTCACCGATCACTGCTTATCAGGGTTCACCGATCAGAGCCTATCAGAGCTCACCAGATCACTGGTCGTCAGGGCTCACCGGTCACTGCTCATCAGGGCTCACCTATCACTGCTCACCAGGACTCATCTATCACTAGTCATCAGGGCTCACCGTTCACTGCTCATCAGGGCTCACCAATCACAACTCGTCAGGGCTCACCGATCACTGCTCATCAGGGCTCACCGATCGCAACTCATCAGGACTCACCGATCGCAACTCATCAGGGCTCACCTATCACTACTCATCAGGTCTCACCAGTCACTGCTCATCAGGGCTCACCGATCGCAACTCATCAGGGCTCAATCATCGCAGTTCATCAGGACTCACCGATTATTGCTCATCAGAGCCCACCGGATCACCGTTCATCAGGGCTCGGGTTACGACCTCCCAGCAGGAAACACCGCCGCCGCCACGCCACCCCAGACGAAAAACTCTTCCGGTCTATGATCGGAATGTTGCCGGAATGTGGGCGCAACATTCCCGCCGGCACCACATCAAACCGGCCGCGCGGGCACGGCGTCTCAGTCATCACCTTGAGACCCGGGCAACAGCAACATAAGACCACCCGCACGACGCTCAGCTCATGCACCCAGCAGCAAACTGCATCAGACTGGGTGTCGTCGGCCGATATCTTGTCACTCCGTAATCTCGTGAAGCCGCTCACGGCGTGCGTACTGAGGCTGCCGTCGGGAGGTAGGTAATGCGCATACCGGGGCCGACGAGTACACTCTCGGCTGGTCTCAGGAGATTATATCCCATTGACCGGAAAGCTTACCACCGTAAGAATACACTGACGCCACCGTAAGAACACACTGACACCATCGTAAGAACACACTGACACCACCGTAGGAACACACTGACACTTTGCTGCCTAGGTCCGTTCTATCAGTACATGAACAAAGAAAGCTGAACCTTTACATCTGATTTGGGTCAGACAATATAACTGGCAAGCAAAGGGCTGGCCACATCTCATAGGGATCAACATAACGGTGGTGGGTTAGAAGTGCACCTTCTGTCAATAAATGAAAGATCCTTTGAAGAAGGTCCCC